TGATTTTCTAATTCTAATTTTTTGTTTTATTAGTTTTGTCTTATGCTAATAGATCATTTATGTCAAAACATAAGCATGTTTTTCCAGGGTGCTGAAATAGCCTGTTATACCTTCATGGGAAAAAAAAAAATCAAAGTAGTCTTTGCTGATTGGAGATTGGCAGATACTGATTGGCTCAAAATCATCTGGTAAATGACTGGATATTTGAATCTCAATCTTTTCCACAGACCGTTTTTGGAGGGTTTGCTAAATATATTGCACTTATAATTATGTTCATATATTTCTGTATAATTTGCTTTTAAAATATCTTCAGATAGCATCTTCATAGCCTCTGAGAATTGGATACAGCTGAACAGAAGAATCTCCATAGACATTGAACAGAAGAAAAAAAAAATCAAAACAATCCAGCTTGCCTTAGAAAGAACAATTTTGTTCATAGATGCAAGAGAAGAAGGATTCAAATATGTACAATCACAAAACGCATACATATTTTTCTCTAATTTTTCTGTTCCATCGCTATGTGAATAATTTGTGAAAATGTGTTACAGTAAGAGCTAAGGTATTACAAATCACATTCCATACTTTGATAGCTTTTTCCGAACTGGGTGACCTCCATATATATAACTTTCAACTTCCAGATTTCTTTGCAATTCATGCTGGCTGTGGAATTCTAGGACTAGAAAGTCATATGTCTGGCAGATTCCAAGGTTGTGGAAGACTGCCTTGGGGGAATCGTTTCTTCATAATCTTTCTTCCATTATCTATAATGTGGGAAGATTAATACTGGCCTAGTTTAAAGGGCTGTTGGTAAGGACCATAAGAGACCTGGTATAGCATACACACGGTCTATTTTATATCAATGATTTTCTGGATTGGGGCCTTGAAATGCAAACTTAGTGGTTTCATCTGTCTTTAGGTAAAATTTAACTTAACCAAGCATGTAACTAAACCACATAGTTGTGCTAGTGGTTGCAGTTGAGGACACAAAACCACAATTGTTAACAGTTCCACTCTCTACATTTGGCATAAGTACTTAAGGTTTATTTTTCCTATTGTAATCATGAGAACCAGGAACTTATTTTCTTCTTATTTGTGTATTTAAAAAATGTCATCTTTAAAAATATCAAGTGGGTGCAGCAGATGAATGAGAGAGATTAAAAGAGGAAGGAGAAAAAGGATCCATATTTCAGCTGACTTGCATGCAATATATATATTTCATTATTATTGTGTTGCCAACTTTTCTCTTAACTAGGTTTCCTGGTTCTGAAGTGACTGCACAGTACAATCAGCTACAACATCTTGGTGAAGAAAATTGTAACCTGTCATTCCCTTTATCAAACTATCAGTTGTTAATAAGCAGCACAAAATTCTCAGTGTTTAATTTTCTTACTTCTCTGTACCTTCTGGCTTCAACAAGGAAATATAGATGCACAAATTAAACAGAATAAATTGCCATTATTAAAGAAATTAAAACTCAAGCTGAAGTTAACTAGGTATCTTGCAATAGTCAACAGTCAAAACAGACTGTTGGCTGCAACAATCAAAACTGAAACAAAAAGAAATCCACAGCAAATAAACTAGACAAAAGGTTTGCCAGGGAGTGACAGCAAAATCATTATGTGAAATAGTTGTGGTTGAAACTCTCTATGGAAAGCAGTTAAGGAGGGAGTTAGTGTTGTTTCAGCTGGGTGGCCATTCCAAAGGGCTAGTGCTAACATTGAGAAGAAGTTCCTTCTAGCCTCAGCACCTTTTATTGCCTAAAAATGGGGGACCATGAGCTGATTTTCCTGGAAAAATCAGGTAGGTTGAGTAACTTTGTTGGTGAAGAGCTGTGCAAAGTGTTCAGAGCAGCTGAAGTTAGGATTAGGGGCTCTAACCAAGACTGCTGGATGACAGCCTGCCATTCAATAGATAGGGAGACATCATCGCCCTTGCTTAGCTTGATCTTGGTTATACATGCCAGATCTATCTGGCTATCACCAAGTCATGAGTGGACAACATTTTGTTATAGCAAAACTCAGAATTGACCAGAAGTATCTTGAGGCTGCTCTGGGCACCTGGACCCCAGAACAGATTTTCAAATTGAAGATTTCTCACCCCTCCCCCTCCCACCCAGAAGGTTCACCTAGTACCATACATTGTTCTGCGTTAGGAAGGGCCTAGTAATTACTGAGGTTGCAACAGGTAGGGGAAGAGAGATTAACATTTTCTTCCTTTGGAGCAGACCTAATAAAAAAATCCTTCTCCCAAACTTGTTTCTTAGCATTCCAAAACGGGCTACAGGATGGAAATTTATTCTACTTTTTGCAGGCTCCAAAAAGTCTCTCTCATCCTGCTAAATCTCTGGTTTTCCCCATTCTAATATCCTCCCTCGTACCATACAAGATGATCTGGATGTACCGGGGGGGGGGATCCCCAACTTATTACAAGTTTGGAAAGAATGGGGGCTTCCCAGTTCCTGGGCCTTCACACAAGTAAATAAAAGAAATCCCCTTTTCAGTGGTGAGTACATTGGTAGACCCCTGTTTGCTTAACACACATGGTGTTTTGTTAAGTGGTTCTAAATTTGTAAATGGAGCTTGAGTTCAGGATTGATAAAAGAAGAGTATCAGATTTAAAATTAGACTCTAATAAAAATTGTTATAAGGACTAAAGTTAGTTGGGACATGGGGCTATCTTAGAAATCGAAGTATTAGTTTTGGCAGTAAGATCCATCGTCAAGCCCAAGTGGGAATTTATTTTTTGTTTTATAGGCCTGACACACTGCTTATCATTCTATAATAGTAATTCAATTGTTAATGAAATATTTACAACTGTTTAATTTTACCATTGATCTTAAACTTTAAATAAAACTATTATAGTCTGAGGGTATTCATGAGCAATATATTTTCAACAGCAAAAACAGTTTGGCAGAATTGAGTAAATCCTTTCTTTAAACCTTCCACTACACTGAGAAAATGGTTGTTGAGATACCCAAATGTTATCCATGTTCAAATGGAAAAGCATTGGAGAACTATATAAGAGGTAGATTTCCCCCCCCCCCCCAACATTATGATTCTATGCCCTGCTTTCTTTGCACACAGGGAACTTTGGATCTAATCCTGCATTTTATCCAAAACATTATTAGAATGTCTTACCACAAATAGCAAACCATCTAAAAATATTGTGACAAGGGCACCCCTACAGTACTCTTAGAATCCTTCTATATATTTTTTTAAAAAAACTAGATAGAAACTTTGACTCACTTTGATAACTAATGATAATGTATGATCATCAAGAGCTGTCCTTGCCTTTACCTCAATGGTAGGCATTGAGGTATTTGGTCTGATAAATACTATTATAATTGCTAAGAGTAGATAATGGATACACAATAGATTTCTTGGGAGAAACTTGTCCATTTTCCCATGAAAGGTCTTGTTCTTGTAAAAATTAAGTAGAAGAAGGGCATAAGGAATTATAAAACTTTTACCTTGATTATGCTTGCTAAAGTTATTCTTCTGAAGTGAAATTTCAGTGTTTTGTTTCCCTCTCTAGCATTAAGTATGCAGGCCAGGTATGAGAATTATCCCTATTGCTGAGATTCATTTTAGAAGTGATAAAATAATCTTGAGACCCCAGAACCAACCTCACCATAGTCTTTCGCAACCTGATGCCTCCAGTTGTATTTCTAGAATTCCTGCTCCCCCTACTGACCCACAATCCTGGAAGTTGCAGTCCTGATATATCTGGACATAAACCAGATTTGGATTATCTCTGGCTTTATTCTCAACAATTGAGAAAGAGAAGCCTCATACACCTGCAAAATAAAATCTAAGCCATATTTTTATATTCTTTATTTGAAGAATATAAATGACAAATTGGGCTACTGCTCGATTTCATTGTGATTCCTGGGGCCTCTGAGGAAAGGAGAGATATACGGTTTAGGTCAATTAAATCCACTGCTCCATGCTAATCTCCCCTTCACCTAAGTTTTCTCCTTTATTTGATATTTGAAACACAACTGGAAGTAATCACCATAGTCATTTTATACTGTGAAGCACTCCTGATAAATTAAATTACAAAGGGAACTCACAAGCTCATATCAGGTTTTCCTGACAGATCATTTTCTTTCATCTCTTATCTCTTTCCTAAGAGAAGTTGTGTGGGAAGGGTGTTTTCCTTGCAGAGGGCATATGAAATTAGGCAGAGTGCCACAATATAACTATAAACTTGCCAATTTCTTAATTTTGCATTACTGAAATGATGTTACTAGGCTGGTTTCTATATCAGCATATAAGAGCAATTGATTTTGTGATGGAAGGTTGGTGGCATAAAGCATCCTTGGAAAATAGCCTCCATTGACACACCCCAGGACTCTCTAATTTATTTATAATGTTGGAGCTGGAACTATTTAATTTCTAGTAATGCTGTTGATATTTGTCACATATAAGTGCTGAAATCATCACCCATTGCTGCCCAGAGCATTGCCGGTGCTGCTATTGCTATATTGTGGCACTAGATATAAAATCCTGAAATTCAAGGCATCTTTGAACTTACAACTTAAACTTATTACCTGCATTTTATGTAGGATTGGGCAAAATCTAAAAAATTATGCGTCCACAACTGTTTTGGCATAGAAATCTTTTAGAGATCCACTTGCACAGAATCTCTTGTGAAAGAATTAAGAAATTTCCACTGCCTAAGTATGAAGTATGCCGAGGTCAGAGAGTGTTCTACCTGTATGGTTGATCTTTTTTTTTTCTTATCTGTACAATGGAAGGATGAGATAGTACCAAGAGTATTGTCTGTGACTCAGATTTTAGTGTACTAACCAGTGAAGAAAAGGTAGTTTGCTTATGATAGTTATAGGTAGGACTGGAGTCTTCAGAAATTAGCTCCAAAGGAAGATGTTATAGCTTTTTCCACCAACAATGGCCCAGAAAAGTTGCAGCAAAAGGATAAGAATTGCTGGGAGAAATTGCTTTCTGTATTGAAAATATTCATTGCTTACATATTTTCAGGCTTTGCCTATTTTTGTCTTTTGTTAGAGTAAACCTAGCCTTGGCCTACACAGAACTGACTGAAGAGCTATGCCGCCTGAGAAACCTGACTTCTCTTCAAAGTCAGATTCTCCGGACTCTTATGCAGGAGCAGGTCCTGAATGGTGAGTGGAATTTCAGCATAAAAGAATGTATGGATAGCCTGGAACAAACTAGGCTTAAACTATGGTCACAGATGGTTAATGATCTCCTCCTTTCTCCTTCCTCTTCCACCTTCACCTCCTCTTCTTGCAACAATAAAGACTTACATATCTCAGAGACAGACAAAGGAAAAATATTTTGATCAACAATCAATAAATAACATAAACACATTAATTAAAAAGGAAAGCAACAATGTTCAGACCTGCATCAGTTGTCAACTCATTTTCATTACAGCATCACCAAATTTAGCTGCTGTATTGTATCAGTGAGAGAAAGTTTCATATCTGAGAGAAATAGATTCACTTAAAGTGTTCTTAGTTATACATGGTTAAGATACAACTATTCCAAATGTCTTTATAATAACACATGATGGATTATTTCTAGATGCCCAGATGCTCAGAGCGGGGGTACTTAGCTAATGGGATTTTAGAGTACCTACCTTGTAAAAGTGCAAAGGAAAGGATGTTATATGTTGCAGAGACAGATGGTACTTCACCTCTTCCCACCTGCTTTGATAAATATGATTATTTTAATTTCAATCATGAGCAAGAAAGTTTGTAAACCTCTTTAGCCTTTGCTATAAAACATATTTTAAAATAAAACATATTTTCTATTAAGAATCAAGTAAAACCTGAATTAGCACAAGAAAAGATTATTTATTCATGGTTTCAGTATAGACAATTATTGGAAAGGTGGAAGATAGATTATAATGTGGGCTTGCTTAGAGAGGATGAGAATTTGTTAAAACAAATTAGAGATCAAAGTCGAACCCATATTAAAAGAATTTATGGTGTCTTGGTGGAATTGGATTCAGAAGCAGAGTTAGTTAAAGATTGTATGGTTAAGTGGGCACAAAATTTTGATGAACCGATCCTATTAGATACATGGGAGATTATTTGGGTGAGGAATGTTAAATTCACGCAAGCCCAAAATTTACGGGAAAATTTTTATAAAATGTTTTATAGATGGCACCTTGATCCACAAAAAATGTCTCGTATGTATTTAAACCTGCAGCCTAAATGTTGGAGATGTGGTTGCTTGGATGCTACTTATTATCATATCTAGTGGTCATGTAAAAGTATAAAAGCTTTTTGGATTAAGATATGGTGGAATATTCAAAGAATTTTTAAAAGAAGGATAAAATTTACTCCACAATTGTTTTTGTTGGGTATTGTTCCGGATTGTGATGACAAAGAGATCATTTTAATGTTAAATTTAATTACTGCGGCTAGGTTGTTAATAGGGCAATATTGGAAGAAGGAATCTTTGCCTACTTTGCAAGAATGGTTTTTTAAAGTTTCTTACTTAGCGGAAATGGCAAAAATTTCGGCTTTCTTGAAAGATCAATCGCAAGAGAAGTATCTCTTGGTGTGGAAAAGATGGATAAATTTTATACAATATAAGTATGATATAAGAAAATATTATCTAGCTTTCAAATAATTTATATTTAAAGTTTAAGATATTATCTAGAAGATATTAAGATATTATTATTCTTTAATTTTTTATTTTTTTATTTTTTTTTCCTATTTTTTTTCCTCTTTTTGTTTTTTATATATAATGGAGTTAAAGTATTTTACAATTTGTTTATTGAGTGTAATTATATTTGCTTAAGGTTTATTTGGGTTTAAAACTTTTTTTCTTTTAAGTTCTAGTTAAGCCTGTATTCAGCTCTGGGAAGAATGGGGGAGGGTTTTGGGGTGGGTTGGGAGGGATTGGGGAAGGGGTTTTTATTGTAAAATCTTAAATTTTTTTAATAATAATAAAAAAAGAATCAAGTAGAACCAACTATGTATGTAATGAGTGTAGAGCACCAAAGCTTTGACTGGTATAGATTATGTAAACTTTCAAAACTGTCTAGGCATCTTTTGGAAGTTAGTCAGTCATTGCTGTGGGTGCCTTCAGCATCCTCAGAGCATCTATTCTTTTCTCCCTTGTTCCAGGTCAGCGGCATTCTCCCCATTCCCAGCGCCATTCTCCTGCCCAGCAACGTGGCTCTCCAGCTCCTCAGTGCCCATCTCCAGCTCAACAAGGGAGACCTTCTGCTCCTCAAAGCCAATCTCCAGCCCTACAAAGGCGTTCCCCAGGCCCACCTGGTCAGTCCCCTGCACATCAACGTCATTCCCCAGCTCCCCCTCCTTGCCAGTCTCCTGTTAGCCAGCGTCGTTCACCAGCTCCACCACCCAGCCAGTCTCCTGCCCAGCAGCGCTGCTCACCAGTCCAAAACTGTTCATCGCCTGCCATGACTTCACAACATAGATCTCCAGGGGCTGACAGAAACATTATGGATCTAGGGTATTCTAAGCCAACCAGTCACCACATCAAAGCAAGCTTCCAAGGCCGTCGAAGCTATTCGGAGGTGAGCGACGCTGCTCTGTATCAACAGAACCGTTCTCTCTGGCTGCAGCCAGAAATATCCACCTTACCAAAGCATCGTCCCTACTGCGAGGTTTATGGCAGAGACACCTTCGAAGAGCACTTGCGCTTTGAGAAGCAGTCCTCGGATGAAGACGACTGGGCCCTCCCAAGTCCCCCCAGCCCTGAAGTAGGGGGTATCCGCTGCGCCTCCTTCTGTGCAGGGTTCCCCATTCCCGACACCTCCATGCACCGGATTGATGCATCGTATTCTAGGGCTGAGCATGCTCAGTCTTGGCCCTCAATCAATGTAAGCAACATCCAATGCCATGTGTATTCTATGCCTTTTCCTCACTTCAGTTTGAACTCAGTTTAGAATCAATTAAGTAAATGGTCCTTCATTGCCCAATTTATTTTACTTACAAAGATTTTCTAAGACAGCCAAGTGTTTATGGTGTATATTTTAATACTACAAATCAAACACTTAATACTTTGAGTAAGGAATAAAATTTGTGAGACCTGATGTTCCCAAGGTAGTGGTAACCATGTTTTAATTATACATTGACAAGGCCTCGGTGATCCAGTGATAAATAGTATGAATCAAGCAGATTATTTAACTTTAAAATTTTTAAATCTGTTCAAATCATGTACCTAACCTCAGCAATTAACATCCAACCCAAGTAGTTCCAGATGATGTTTTAGAAAATGCTAACCCTAGCCCTTTGACAGGTTTGCAATGTTTTCCTCATATCTGATTAGAGTTTGCATTCTAAAGTTGCCCAGTTATTTTCAGTAAAGATGAAAATGATATTCTGGTCTCATGTTTGTTGGCATTCTCATGATAGTGATTATTATTTTCCCATGTTCAATATTTATTCATTTTACTGCTTATTTTAAATGGCATTCTCATGCTGGCTTATACAATAAAGTACCATACAAAAAGGTTTTTTTTACAGTTTTATATAAAATAGAATTAATTAGAACAGCAATAGAAGACAATTTAACTGTGGCCCCAAAATGTTAGTGATCAATTAAAACTATAAAATGTACCTCAATTAAAAGAAAGCTGTCAGGTAAGGGGTCTCATATACCTTTTACAAAAGGCTTTTTCTAAGAATGGGGATGATTTTAACAAGATTAGCTTAAAAATAAATTAAAAGAGGTTACATATCAAGGAGGGAGCCTGAAGTATCTTCTGCAGCAGCAGTCCCCAACTTTTCTGGCTCTGCAGAACGGTGGAGGTGGAGGACCCTATTATGCAGAATGCCTTTGATAAAAAATGGGAATCCAGATTATGTACAATTAAGAGTTGCCTGAGAAAAACAGGAACCTTTGGCTTTGATCCCCAACGTGATGCCTTCCAGTTCTTTTGGGAGTACATAGCACTGGGAACAGCCACCCATGATGGTTTGGATTCAGGAAATTGTATCTATCCGAATGGCATCAGTTGCAGGAAGAGCGGTTTAGCTACTTTTGGAAATTGGTCAACAATACTCTCCCATCACTGTTCTTAAATGCACATGGTTTGCATGCATATTTTTCAAGATTTACCCCCCTCTCCAAAATAAAGAGAGACTAGCTAAGTAGTTGCATCTTACAGATAAATTGTAATTTATATAAACATTTCATGAAGTTAAGAGTAATATTACATTTATGAATGAAATGCAAATAACATTAGTAACGCCCAGTAGTGTCAGATCACAACAGAACATTGCATAAAGGAGAATATTTGTATCTCAAGGTTGAAATGAGGAGTCCTTGGTGCTCTCTGAGCTTGCTTATTTTCTTGCATTACCCAAATTAGGTAACATCACCTGTCCATCATCACTAGCACTGATGATGTTACCTAGTTTGGGTAATGAAGCTTCTGCAAGAAAACAAGCATGTTCACAGAGCGCCAAGGAACCTTTGGAACACTAGATGCTACAAAGCGACAGGGAAGATCTAAAACCTCCTAGATGCTACATTTGGTAGTATGTAAAAATCACTTACGTTATTTATTCTAACAGTTGGTGTCAAATATAGGATGATGCTATTTAATTATATTGTTTCATGCCCAGGTATTAGTATGAGGTTCCTAAAAAGTATAATTCACAGAATGTATATACTCTCTAGTTATATGCTTTGTCTATGACTGTGGTCATTTTTCTATGACAGGCACTTCTCATTTTAGCCACAAATTTATTTAAATATGATTAGGTTTTACCTCTTAACTTCAACTGTTACCAGCTAAAGCATTGCATTAAGAATGAGAACCTATGGCTCTCCCAGTGTTGCCGAATTGCAGTTCTTAGCAACTTTCGCCATTGGCTTTGCAATCTCTGGGAAGCTGTAGTTAATATGTATCCCAGAGAGTCACAGGCTATGCACCATTCCATTATGGGAGTATATCTAAAAGATCCACCTTTCAGAAACTTGGTAATTAATGTAATTAGCACAAAATAAAGACTTAATAATTTCACTTTTATGATACCTTTCCCTCCTTTGCATTCCTTCCCTGTATCCCTTAGTTGCTGATGGAAACAGTCGATTCTGACATCCGAAGCTGTCCTCTCTGCCAGGTGGCCTTTCCCATCGGTTATCCAGATGATGCTTTGATAAAACACATTGATTCACACCTGGAGAACAGTAAGATCTGAGGTCTGTTCCACCATCCTTCCTCTTCTGGCTTCCTTAAAGAGATTGCCCACCTCATATCCACTGCACCTTTCTTGGATGCTGCATGAAAAGTGGAGGCACCACAAGGGGCTTTTTCTCTCTAAAATACCTCCAAGTTTCCATTAGATTGAAGCGTGAACATTTTTGCCTCTCCCTTGTCTTCTTTGCCTTGGTTTTTAAAGTGGGTTGCCTCTCCTTTTACTGCTCTTTATGGGCAGTACCTGCAATATTTCTCCAGTGCTTCAACCAGCCACAAAGGTGGGGAAAGGAGTGAGAAATATGCTGGAATTAGGCTTAGCAGGGCACAGTCACCTTCACTATCTGATTGCTCAGAACTAAGGTTGCTTCTGGTGATGGTGAGACTCTATCTACATGGTTTAGTTTTGATGTCTCTGAAAGATTTCAGGGTAGGATGGGTAAAAAATAACCCAAGTTTGTGTGTTTGGGGATGGGGTAGGAGAACAGATTAATGAACTCCAACCCACTGAAGGCACAACAAATCACAGAGGTTTTGTTTGTGCCTGTTTTACACAGGGATATCCAAGTGGGTCAGATTTCTCTGCCTCTTATGCTACTACAAAGGGTATTTGGAGGTTGGTTGTTTAACAAATGTAAAAAGCCTTGGCCTCCAGTTGCTGGTTCAAGTGTCTTTGTGTTGGTCTTTTACATTAAAAGTCCACTTTTAGCAATGCTGCTGAGAAATAGAGCCACTTCCAAAAGTGTAGCATGGACGTTCTTATGTTATTGCACTGAATAATAAGCTTTTTTTTCCACAAAAGAAACTCCTCTTTTTGTCTGTGTTGGCTTCTTGTGAGTCGTTCTGGAGGACTTGTAAACTGCACACTTAGGTAGAAGTCCAGAAAGCATTCCCATATTTTGGCGACTGTTTACACATTTTTCACAACCACTTCACATCTTGCTTTAGATATCTCTTATATAAATAACTGTAGCTGCACATTTTGCCTCATTACTCTCTTGCAATGGCAGCATGTTAACATTATTGGGATAACAGTGTAAATTTAAACAACTTCCCATATTTGACAGCACTATATTTCTCTCTCTCTCTCTCTCTCTCTCTCTCTCTCTCTCTCTCTCTCTCTCTCTCTCTCTCTCTCTCTCTCTCTCCTTACTGAACATATATTTTATTATACTAATCTAAGATAAGGATCATGTACTGATTGGTTCCACATGTATAGTACCTCTGTATTGTGAGGTTGGTCTCCTTGAAACAGCCTATCTGTACATCGGCCTTTACTTTTAAAAAAAAGTGGAGAGGGGGAGAAGAATTGCATGGATTTTCTTTTCCTTCTTCTTGAGGCAACTGTCTTCCTATCTCCAGGTTCTATTAACAAATGTATATTTCAGATTTACAGCCTGCCTTATCCCAAGATCTCAGACTGCCAGTGGGCAGTAGGCATGGGCCCTTATCTTTTTGGCCATATAAAACTAGTTGGGATCAGTGTTTCTAAAACTTAAAACAACCTCCCCCAGCCAGATACCTCCATCTGTGCTGAATTTCATTCTGATCCTCCTAATGTCCATGATGCTGAGGAATGATTAATCCAGTGCATCTGGGGGAGGCACTGGGTTAAGGGAGACCAATAATAATTTAACATTTTTTTCTTCCCATCTTTGTCTGGTCAAGATTGCAAATCACCACATTCCCCTGTCCCCTGTCTTTAATCAGATTTTAATTCTCTGTTCTATATATGTCAATATTATGCCCATACTTTATTTAAATTATTCCAATGCTGAGGGAGAAACTAAACAGCAGGAGAATCAGGTCTTCAAACCTTCCCTGCTGTGAAACCACTGTCAGGGATTACATAAAAAAAAAAATAGCTGGCAGCAGAAAAGGTGCTGAACTCCTGCGAACTTCAGTTACCATGATTGGTCGGGTATTTTTAATCTAACCTGTTTTTTCAATCTCAGAGGCCATAGAAATACAACTGTGAGGTGGAACATACCTTTCTAGAAACAAAAATAGGCCACATACTATACAAAAAATCAAATGGATTCAGCATTTATATATACATGGAGCGAAGCTTCCAATACTTACATTATGTTCAAATTAATTTGGTTCAAGATCCAAATTGCAAAAAAATAATTTGGAAAGGACTTTGCATATAGAAAAAGAAACCTCTTTACATGTCTGGTAGCAGAAATCTAAAGCAGAGGTCATCAACCTTTTCATGCTGGCGGCCTGGAGGGAAAGGGAGCAGCTGGGAAGTCTGTGTGTGTGAGCACGTGCGCGTGCAAACAGGACTGCACATGAACAGGGCCACGCACACCCACATGGCACTAGCAGCCCATCTGGTCCTATCTCTGAACAATAAAAAATAATTCCACTCCTTCTTTTAAGAAACAACCCTTTGGATATCTGAGCTGCTATGATATCTCTTTCACAGGGTAAATTGATGAATATATCCAATCTTTTAATGATTGCTCAAAGAGCTTCTTGAGATGCCATGGAGAAAATTCATCCTCCATTGAAAAACCTTTTAAATCCAGTATTGTATGGTGTGACAGAACTAGTGGTGGGATTCAGATATGTGAACAACTGGTTCTCTGTGTTCTGGAAGTGCATTCTGGGTCTGGACAACAAAAAATTAGCTACCAGTTCTGCGGAAGTGGTATGAACCAGCTGAATCCCACCACTGGGTAGAACTCATAGATGGAAGTTATAGATTTATATTCCTGGAGACTTACATAGGAGAACATCCAGTTGTGTCCACTTTGTCTCTGTCCCAGCTTGCCACCCTTTAATGAGGACCGATATCAGCCTTGAAGCTTTAATTATCCTTCACGATAGGCCTGTTTCTGCTGAAGCCTATCTTGGTTGCATACATTTTATAACAAATGGTTGCTATACCTGTCATAGCTGCCATCCATAATTATCCACTTTAAATTTTTCTTGGTGTGCTGTAGCTCAGTTCAAGAGTTGAATAGTTTTCCTAAATCTCTGCAAAAGTTACAAGAAAATGGAAGAAGGCCTCCTGAGGAAGGCAGTCAGAGCTTGAACCCATGTTTATATCATCAAATGAAGCAATTTAAAGAGGCCTTTCATTGGCAATGATATTCTCTATCATTTAACTCCTGAAATTATCAATAGAAAATTTTAATCTACATAAGTCACATGATTTCTACAACTATTTTTGGTTTTCTTTAAATAGGAAAAGAGCCACGTAAGTGGTACACATTTGAAAATGTATCTTGCAACTTTTCACCTCTCTTCTATTTTGTTACATGAAATCTACCTCGATGTTTATGAGAAACAGGAATGATTACAAGCAAAAAAAAAAATAATCAACCAATCAACTAACTATCCAAGAATGGGGGAGGGTAGGCCTTGAATTATGGGAATGTTTTTATAATTTATTTTTTAAAAAGTCTATAATCTACTAAGGGCTCAAATAGCACTCAGATTGTTCCCCTTGCTCTGAAGCTTCATAATGTTTTTTTAAAGATCTCAAGGAGCAATCAGCAATGTTAGGGATGCACAAGAGCCATGAAATGGAGGTGTAAAAATAGTTTCCACAAGGGTTCTTCACACTTGTTTCAGCTGGTATAAAATGGTGGTTATGCAATTGACCTGTAATACACAAAGTCCCTAGTTTAAATTTTATATTTGTCACAATGACAATATATTGCTTAGACAAGCTCAATGAATAACCATTCTCTTGGCGATATTTCTCCTAAATCCCTTGGAAAAAAAAGTCTCACCACTGTAATCATGGGATTGAGAGAATATTCCTTCTATGTTTGGCAAAATTAATACTTTTTCAGTGTATACATCTAACATGAAATCTATGGAATTTACAATAAGTTAGATTTTACATATAATTTTAAATTAGTCAGGACGTGGTTTCCACATATCCATAGTTGTACATTCTGAGTATTTTATTCTGATATATTGAACAAATTACTGATTCTGTTCTGATGTCAGCTGGAAGTTAAAACTATTGTACGGTAACTGTTAGGTTGATTGATGGCTATTGTCTGTAATACTTAAGTGAAATGTTTTAAAGGCAAGATTCTGCTAAATACCAATTTTTGGTATTTACAAGAAGCTATTGTCATGACAAAATTATTGTCATAATTTTTTCCCCAAACTTCAGATGATCCACTCAATTAAGAGAGTGCTGGATAAATATAATTTTTATTCTGAAGAAGTAGGCCAGCTCACATATTCCTAAACTAATGTCACGAAACACCAATAAATTAATACAATGCTAAGTTTATATCTCATATTATAGTGTGGTTTGCTTTTGAGTAAGAGCAATATGAACCTGCCAATTGTGGCTTAGTATTATGTATGAGCTAGGCTATATCTTATTCAACAAGTCGTCATAAAAATATCTTGGTTTGGCATAATAGGCGAATTCAGCCATGAAGTTAATCCTTAACTTTCTTATTGTCAATCAGCATGGTAAGTATCAGATAGCTTATTTCACTTTCTCAAAATGCATGTTTAAAATATTTTTCTTTATGTTCCCTGCTGATCTTTTTTTTTAATTAACTATCAGAGGATTTTCACAAACATTAATGTAGACTCCATTCCAATGTATTTTCAAAAGTTCAGAATATCCAACATTTGCCATTTTTACTTGTGCTTATGTAACAATTAAAGATAGAAAGGTATATTAAGAATTTGTGTTGTGCTCTTGTAAGCAATTATAATTTTTCATTGGAACTTGTCTTCTAAGTAGTATTTTTTTCTTAGCTATTTAATATTGGTTTCAATTATTTGTAAGCCAAATTGTCTTACTTTCAGGAGGAAAATGCTCCTGAAGATAATACTCATGCTGATGAATTTAAAGAGTTGTCAAGTTTAATATAAAGAATGCATCTATTGGGAGCAGGAATGGAATTGTTTAAATTAGTGCAAATGAAAACCCACTACTATTGGTCATATAATTAAAAGATTAACGTATTCTGAAAATTCTTTAAATTCACTCAATTTCATGAAAGTCTCTTTGTAGTTTTGCAAAGAGTTTCATAAAAATTCATGGGAAGATATTCGGGACACTTTGAAAATAGAAAGGTTTTTTTTTAGTTATTCATTTTTCAGAAACTAACCCTCTTCTCTTAATCTAAATATAAAGAAGCAAGGGGGGACCTATTCTTAGCACTTTGAGTAAAATATTTGGGAGAGAGATGATCTATCTGTGTTGTCCTTTTCTTTCTGTACTCTGTGAAACAGAATAATTCAAATAAAAGTTGCCAACTAATAGATTTTATCATGGCTTGGGATGTTTTTTTTGGGCTAGTGGCATCTGTTTCTGTTGATAATGCTTGGAAGAATCACACTTCACTAAGAAACACTTTGTCCAAGTAGGAATCCTACCGAGTTTCCCCAAAAAGAAGACCCAGTCTTATATTTATTTTGCCTCCAAAAGAGGCATCAGGTCTTATTTTCGGGGAATGTTTTATCCCCTTACCTTAGGACCGCTGCATGTAAACAGCCTTAGAATATGTTGCCATTGTGGCTAGATAAACTGGCTGCCACATGGAAAAGACAACTGGAACAGATATGATAGTCAATGCATCAAGACAGTATTATCAGGTTTTGAGAGGGCTCCAGATTTCAATGAGTTCCTCCTATTCAAAGCCCTAGAATAGTGAAGTCAAAGTAAAGATTTAAGCTTCATAAAAATATGGTAGGATCTGAAACAAACAGTTCTTGTTGGAAAACACTAAAAGGTTTCTAAACTGAATGCTAAAGTAGAATCTACTAGGGTTCATGTAAGAAATAGATTGTGATTTGTTTCTTATACTAATTCTGGCAGATTCTATTTTGCAGGAAATGTTTGGTTGTGGTTATTATAGCCAGAGGGGGGTCCAACCAGTTGCTGAATCTGAGCAAGAAATTATATTTTTCATACTGCATGGTATCTTGAATGTTCATAAAATAAATGAAACCAGCACTAAACATGGACATTGTTTATATGGGTCTTGCTGATACATTCACTTTATATATCAGCAAGATCCATACAAAATCTGATATCATTTAGAGCAGTATTTCTTAAAATGTGGTTCAAGGGTCTGCAAAATCAAAATTATTTGCCAGCTGTGTTGGAAAAGATTACAACATTACAATCAAATCAAACAATCATGTGAAGTGTCAATAGCGGGAGCAGTGGCAGAGGAATAGACAAATAGCTTTACATGGACCTATGCATATGGTGGCTGGGGTGATTAGCAAGCTGACTGCAGACAGTACATCTCAGCATCAGGAGCATGGAATAGTGTGGAATGAGGCAATGGGATGCTGGTGGTGCCTGGTAGGCTACGAATCAGCTGTTTCTGGTATAGCAATGTTTAGCCAATCCCTGAAGGTGCAGCAGCAAGGCAAGGCAGAAGTTGAGTGAATTGCAGGATACTGTCTATCCTCCATTCTGTGGTTCAGTCTAGAAATAGGACTGCAACTCTCTGTGGCAAGGTGACTGTAGCTTGGGCCCTGGGAGTAGGCATCCTGGCTGACTGGAGGACTCGGATGTCCAAGTGAATGATGGGAACAGGTGCACAGTGGTTGCCAATTGGTCATCCACATGGCCCAGCTGCTATCTTGATGGCTTCTTCCATCTATGTGCGGCTCAGGATTGGATGGACTGTTTTGTGTCAACATTTCAAATATCTACAGAACTCAGTGAACTAATATTTTTCAATGGATGATATTACAAAATCATGTACGGGTAAAATATCCATTTAAAGTTCAAGGTTGACTACTAGATTTTAATATAGCTGAACATGAAAAGTTAATTGATACCAGATCTCACATAGCACCTTTGAGAAACTACTTGTCAAATTCTTGCATACTATCAAAGATACACTATATGAAAAGACTGTCAAATACTTTTTTCTTTCATTTTTAATACATAACTGCACAAAGCTGGATTTTCTCCACATACTTCAACAACATAACACAATAAATACAGAATCAGACATGAGAGTCCAATTGTCTTCTATTAAGCTAGATATTGAAAATACTTACAAAAGTTTAAAACAGACACTTTTATTATTTTTTTTTTAAAATTTCTTTAAAATACAGATTGTTTTTTCATGAAAATATTGTATGTTGCTATTTCCATGTGACTCAACAAACACTCTATAAATGTGTACATTTTAATTTTTAATGCAGTAAAATTTGATCATGGAAACAAAAGCTCTTTCGGGGATCTTCATAATTTTTTTTTAAAAATACACTGATATAGATGTGAAAACTATGCAAAAATTCAGAAAATCCCAAAGGGGGAAAATTTACTTTTTCACAGATATATCAAAGATGCAATTATTAGAAAGGACTTCATGCTCTGGTTACCATATGCCTAACTTCAGATAGCAGAACCAACAGGTGGAGAGGTCATTGTCTGAAGAACAAAATGACTCATTTAGAAAAATGTGACATTTAAAGGACTATTTTCCTGTGAAGTGGTAACTGATCAACAAGAGGGGACCTTCAAGTCTAAATGAATATTTGTTCAAAATATTTAATCCAAAGGACATCTTTCCACTAAACAGAGTTCCTTGCAAGCATTCCTCTGCACCCTTTACACTAAGGAGAGTAACAGATTAATATATGTGGGTCCTTTTTGTTTATCTTACCTGGCACATTTCAGATACATTGGAACAGCAAGTTGTAGAATTTTTAGGCAGCTTGATTTTTGGCAGAAAGTAAAGGAAGGTGGATTGGGTCTACATGAATGTGATTCATTTGTAGCCAACTGTGCTTCTCTGAATGGGCCAGTAAAATCACTTCTTAAAAAATCCAACTCATTCTAAGATGTAGTGGTATTTAAAGCAATGGCATCAATACTATAATGAAACAGGATTGACTTTTGATTTCTGAGGCAATAGTGTTTTAAAACTAAAATAGAGCCTTATCAAAAGCAGTTCTGAGGTTTAGCAAATTAATAAGTATACCCACAAACTTCCTTGTTAGTTTCAAACCTTGTAAAATAAATAAATAAATACATAAATAAATAAAGTTGATGGAAATGAGATGAATGGGGTAGAGACTTGGAAGTTAGAATTCTTAGCAGCAATATATACTGCCATGGAAACTATCAGCCTCAGGTTCAAGATCAACTTAAAAAGTATTTCACATAATAAGAATTAACTAATGAAATTTCATAAAATTATAGCTCTTGCAAAAAGATTCATATTCTTATTGATATGTAAGCATGGAAAGATCATGCAAAGACAGTTCAACTTTAAAGTGACAATAAGGGTGGGTTTCCAAATGGCTGGTAGGCAGGAGGTATCATCTCGTTTATTCATGTTGTGTAGGCGATGTATGTGGTTTGTCCGGACAAACCAACAGAAGAATAAGTGCACGCATTGAAGAACACAAAAACTCAGTCAAAAAAGAAGAACCAACTTCTTCCCTGGTCCAACACCTTAAAGCCACAGGACATGAAATTGACTTTAAAAAGACCAGAACTATCCCCAAAACTGAACACTTTAATAGCAGAATAATCAGAGAAGCATCGAGATAGAAAAACGCCCACACAGCATGAATAAATGAGATGATACCTCCCGCCTACCAGTCATTTGGAAACCCACCCTTATTGACAAACGAGTCCCTAACACAAAGAATGACATCAGACCCACATTCACGAAAACCACACAGGATGTCACCGCCACACATCCATGCAAAAAGCAAACCCAAACTCACACCGATGATGAGGCATGACCACAAACCAGAAGCCAGACCACAGCTGCATCATTAGCCACTTTAAACACCTCTAATCCATACCTGAAGAAAACTGACACCCACCATGAAGATGAGGCATGACCACAAACGTGAAGCCAAACAACAGCAACGCAGCTCAACATCTCAAATCCCCCTGCAACTCAGACTAACTTGAGCACAACAAAGCCCCCACCCAAACAGAACACTCCCCCATCCAATCAGAACACAGCCAACCCCTATCCAATCAGAGCACAGCCAAGCCCCTAACCAATCAGAACACACCTCCACCCAATCAGAACACAGCCAAGCTCCCACCCAATCAGTTCATACCCCCACTGGCAGTTAAAAGGAAGAAACAGCTATGATCACACATTGCTCCTAGAAGCACGAAGCCGAAAACACCAGCCTGAAGATGACGAATGGGACTTCATTGAAACCTTACCAAGACACTTCCAATTTTATGCGGGAGAAAACCTGAATAACCAAAGACCTACATACAAACACCCGCGATCTATCTATCTATCTATCTATCTATCTATCTATCTATCTATCTATCTATCTATCTATCTATCATCTATCTATCTATCTATCTATCATCTATCTATCTATCTATCTATCTATCTATCTATCTATTTATCGGTATAGGTTTAGATATAGATATAGATATAGACTGTGTATGTGCGTGTGTGTGTGCGTGTGTGTGTGTGTGTGTGCGCGTGTGTGTTTGATGACTGCAGTCAGGAGTTTGGGGAAAGATGTTGTTGCTTGGAAATTAATTGCATTTCAAAATGGATCATGCTTATCCAATAAGATCAATGAGGTATTATCCTGGGCACTCAACTTTTATAACTAATGGTGGAGATATATTACTAGCTAGAGCAGCATTTCTCAACCTTCAAAGCTTTCAGATGTGTGGACTTTAACTCCCAGAATTCCCCAGCCCAGAAACACTGGACTAGAGAAACCAATATCTTTTTCTTCTTTCCTACCTACTGAATTTCCGAGGTTCTTCTGCAAGTTTTGCTTCCCCTTTTTTGCTGTCCTGTATTTTTATCCTCATTTCCTTCCCCTCACAACACTCTGAACTACAAGTTCTAAGATTAATTTTCACATGAAAATGAGTTTACTAAATCTGAAACAATGCTAAGCTTGAGTTGATTCCGGCATTACAGTCACCAGGCTACCGGGATACCTCAGCAGTTTTGACCTGATGGTCTGACCAAAACCCTAAATAGTGTAGCATCCTGTTTCTCACAAGCAGATGGGCCAACAGAATTTCAGTGCACTTACACAGAAGGAAATGCCCAAGCAGTCTTCCATGATTGTACATAATCTCACTTACATGCTTAAAAACCACTTAAGCTACTACCATCTTCATATTTTCAAGTAGTAAATTCCAGATAATTATGCACTGTAATTAATTATGCATTGTATAAAGACCTATTTCCTTTTGCCATTGGCAAAGTTTCTCACAATGCATAGTAACTGGATGATCCTGAATTCTAGTGTTTTAAGAGAAAAAGCACTTCTGTCTTCTACA